GGCAGTCTCCGTAGTGTCATCCATTAGCGCCAGCGGCAAGAGTGAATGTCATATTCGTAATCAGGATGTTAAACTACCCCTACATACAAGTTTTTAGCGGATTTGGTGACTTAGGCAATTTAAAATGAGCTCGGTGCCGAAATTGCTGGAGTCCAAACGGCATTAGCCATTGGTGCATTGTTACGTCATAAACTTGTTCGCAGTACCACGTAGCTCCGATGAAGTGTTTCGTTAAGCTTTATACATTGTGCTGCATTGTGTGAACTACTTTTCTAGTGATTACTGTTCTCCCAAGACTGTTCAATAAAACCAATAAAAGACAATGTAACTGTGAAGGTATTTGGTATCAGCTTATGAGGCCTAGAAACTCTTCGGAAACCGTGCTCAGTTGTCGCGTCGGTGCCCAATAGAAGTCTTGCTATTGTTACAATATGACAAGTGAGAGCCAATGAATGAATAACGGACCAGGCGGTGTATTTATGCATCAGCAATCTACTCCCGTTGATTTACAATGAGGTGGCCGATTCGTGTGTAACATCAACGCTGTCCCGCAGTTATCAACCGCGGAACAACGTGGGCTGCGTACAGCTTCCACCGAAACTCCACGAGTTCCACCCCGTCATATTTTGGCTAGAATTTTGGGAAGAAGTTTTAATCTCATTCCCTACGTAAATTATAGTATGGTCCTACATAGATGGGAGAGAGAAGGAAACGAACTCAAGAAACAGGCGGTCATGGGAACCATGTATTGGGTTGGGGAATAAATCCGTTCGGTTTTTTCAAAGAGCTTTATTTAAATGATTTGTTTGTTGTTTGGCAAAGTGTTTGCAGAAAGTGCCTTCTCTGCTCTACAAAAGTGTATTATTTGTTTGTTAGTATATTTCATTTTTTTTATTTTTCAGGCTCAGAAATGGAATACCCAGGAGGCAAAAATCAGCATTTTCGACACCTACTTTTCTTCGCTTTTCATCGCGGTCAAAAAGCAGCTGAAGCCGCTCGTGATATATGCAACGTGTACGGAGAAGGTGTCATAGGCGAGCGCGCAGCACAAAAATGGTTTGCAAAGTTGGAATGGTGTCTGTGCGTCAATATGAAGCAAAGAAAGGAGTGGGTGCCACCAGGAGACACGCCGAAGCCTAGAGTCAAGCAGGATCTCCACCCAAAAAAGAGAATGATCTGCGTTTGGTGGGACTGGGAAGGTATAGTGCACTGGGAAATGCTCGAACGAAATGACAAAATGCCACAGTCAACAGAACCTCTACACTGCCCAGCTGCACCGTGTTAATGAGGCAATTCCTACTCCACGACAACGCCAGGCCGCATGTTGCACAAGTCAAAGCCGCATTCCAAGAGCTCGGATGGGAGGTTCTTCAGCATCCACCGTACACTCCGGACCTTGCGCCAACCGAATATCATCTTTCCCGCTCCATGTCAAACCAAATGAGGGGTGTTACCTTCGAGGACGAAGAGGACCTCAAAAACTGGCTCAACAATGTCTTCGACACTAGACCTGGCGATTTTTGGCGGAACGGCA